TTATGCAGGGGGCGCCCCTGGGACAGAACCGGGGGGTGTTAGGCAGGGGGCACCCCGGGGGCAGGAGCAGGGAGGTGTTAGGCGGGGGGCACCCCGGGGGCAGGAGTGGGGGTGTTAGGCGGGGGGCACCCCAGGGGCACGAGCGGGGGGGTGTTAGGCGGGGGCATCCCGGGGGCAGAACCGGGGGGTGTTAGGCGGGGGGCGCCCCGGGGGCAGGAGCAGGGGGGTGTTAGGCGGGGGGGTTATGCAGGGGGCACTCCTGGGGCAGAACCGGGGGGTGTTAGGCAGGGGGCACCCCGGGGGCAGGAGCAGGGGGGTGTTAGGCAGGGGGCACCCCGGGGGCAGGAGCGGGGGGGGGGTTAGGCAGGGGGCGCCCCGGGGGCAGGAGCAGGGGGGGGCTAGGCAGAGCGCTCGGCGCTGTTCAAGCCCCACACACTGCTGCGGCGCGGGAGCAGAGCTCTCCCTCCCATGGTGGGGACGAATGGGAAAAGCCAGGGGCAGGGCGTTCCAGAGGCCCCGCCCCCGTACGCTCGATTGCTCGGTCCGCGTCTGCTCCTGTCTAGGATCTGGTGGCTCACACGTGGCTCTATTGGCGCTGCCTTTCCGGCCTCCACGTGGGTTTGTTTGCGATGGCGGCCCAGGAGCAGCCGGCGCGGAGCGAGGTCCCGGCTGCGGCGCCAGGTGGGACCTTGGTGTGTGGGGAGCGAGGGGTCCCGCCCGCCGCCGGGCCGGGGGCCGGGGCCGGGGCCGGGGCCGGGCCAGGTTCAATCCGGCCCCAGCCTGACCTGGCCCGTATCCCCCGGCTTGGACCGGTCTAGAGAGCGAAGGCCCCGGATCCGCCCCGACCTCCCCTCCCCTCCCCCGCCAGGGGACGGGCTCCGGGGCCTTTCCCGCCCCCGTGGCTCTCTGCAGGCCAGGGGAGGGGAACGTGCCTGTCTGTCCCCAGAGTGGGTGAGCGCGTCCCACGCTGCTGCCGGTCCCGGGATCCGCGATGCCCCCCCCCCCTTCATCAGATGCCCCGAGCTTTGGCCCTTCGGGGCTTGGGGCAGTGGCTGCTCGGGCCCGGTTCTCCCGGCCAGGCTGCGCACCAACCTCCTCTGACGTGCCATGCTGAGGGTGCCAACTTTGGTTGGACGGTTTCATGGAGGTTTCATCTAATCTTTAATTTCTGGAGACTCCAGGCCAATCCTGGAGGGTCGGTAACCCTGTCTGACGGGTGCTTTCCCCAGGAGCTAGGCCTGCCCTACCCCCATGCAGCGCTAGCTTCTGGGCCCGAGCATGAGGTGACGTGCCCCGTGTGTGGCGCAGAGATGCGCTCTGCAGAGGATGCTGGCTAGTCTGAAGGGAGGCTCTGCTGGGAGTGGAGGAGGGTGGGTCCATCAGTCTTGAGCTGTGCTCGGAAATACATTCTCTGACTCCAGCGTCTCCTTGGTCCCAGATCTATCCCACGTTCCAGTAACCCGCTAGCAGTCACCTCTGCCTGCTGCTCACTTGGTGGACAGAACGGTTAGCAGGGGCTTTTCCTGCCTGGCATGGCTGAGACGAAGCCAGTCAGCCATAAGGACTTCAGTGTCCCAGTTGTCTAAGTTACTTTGTAGCATTTAATTTATCCGGGCAGTTTGCTTCACAGGAGCCTGGATAACTCATTTAGTGAGTGGGCAAAGCAGCTCGTGAGTCACCTGGCCTTCAGACAGCAACGAACACCTGTTCGCTGTGAGGCACTATCATGAAAGGGCCCTTTGCAAGCATAAATAAAGCAGCCCTTACGCTGCATCTGGCAGTGTTCGCATTGCTGACACCTTTCTGATTCAGAGTCCCACAAAAGGGTCTCGAGCAGTCATGGTAAAACAGGAATAGAAACCTGCTCTTTACAGCTCCCATCACTTTGTCAAGTGAGATACTAGAGAACTAACACGGGTCCTTCCCTTGCAGATCGCTGCCCCTACAGGAGTGCCAGCCAGCTGCCGCCCCTTCCACAGGGCATCCTGGACACACTTGTGGCAGTGCTGGCTCTGGGCCAGTTGGTGGGACTCTGGTAGCGGGTGGGATGGGGAGCTCCTGTGGGGTCCTGTCTGGGTAGGGAAGAGGAGTCCTTGTGAGGGCAGAGGACCAGCAGGGAGAAGGGGAGCTCCCTTGGAGGCAGGGTCTGGGGATAGGAGCAGGGGAGCTCCCTCAGACACAGCCTTTAGTGTCAGCGTGTGCGAAGTGTTTGACAGCCAGTGTGTGCTAGGGCTGCTCAGCCTTAACCTGAGACTCCCTTGGGGCCAAGTCGTGAATCGGGCTCAGGGCAGCCCTTATGCGAGAGCTCCCCACCCCACCCCACCCCACCCCCGTGCTGGCTCTGCGAGGGGCTGCAGGTGAAGCTGGTTCTGGGGGGCTTGCTGGGCTCTGGGTAGCAGGATGTCAGGTGACTCCTCACTGCTGAGGGGGCGCTGCGGCTGGAGCTTGTGTGTGGTGACCAGTGTGTAGGACCTTCCGACCTGCATTTGGGCCCCTGTAGCCGCATCGTGGTCACCTTTAAATTTGCCAGCTGCCTGAGAGAACAAAAGACATCTCTGCATTCCCTGGATGGCGGCCGGGGGGCACTGTCTGGGGACGCAGGCAGGTGGCAAGTGGAAGTGGTCTCTGCACAGAAGCCTTGCTAGGCCTCATGTAGCTGGGGCGATGGGGTCATGCTGGAGCAGGCACCAGCTCCTCAGCTGTTGCTGGCTGGACTCCTGCTCTCCGGGGAGTCGTCATTGTCCTTCCCCTGAACTCGGCGTCGAGTGACTGGCCTGGCCGCTGCCTCTCCTGGAAGGCGGTGCTACCCCTAGCTGCTCAGCCGAGCTTTCCCCGCTGGGTTACTGGCACTGAGCGGCCCCTGGGCAGTGGGTTTCTGGCTCTGGGCAAGGCCCCCATCTCTGTGCATGTCAGTGGGGTGGGGCCTATGGCCAAGCCTCTCTGTTAGTTCTGTTCGGAGTTTCTAATCTGGGCTCAGTGCAGGCCCCGACAGCTGCCCCTCGCCCCCTCCATTGCTCCCGCATCACTCAGCAGGATTGAATGTAATTACACAGCTTTCATTGTATCATTTTCTTGCCTTTAATGTTAGTTTATTGAGGGGTCAGAGCATGAAGTTACTCTGCACCTCCGACCGCGCCCCCCCCCCCCCCCCGGCTGTGCTAGATTAGCAGGCTTGGTGCCTCCCTGCATTACGGAGCCTGGCTGCTGGGGGGTGGAAACCTCCTCCCCTTGTCCTGCACCCAGTCAGTCTCTCTGGTTGGGGGGCGGGTGTGGGGACTGCTGTGGGTCTCTGCCTTGCGGGAATGCTGCAGGACTGTGGGTCCCCTGTGCTCTCAGGCGAGCAGAGGGGTCTGAGCTCTGGCTCTGGAGTCGTTTGAGTGAGTTGGCATCTCCGGATGGATGCTGCATCATCAGGCCTCTGGAGGCAATAGGTGGTTCCCTCTTTGTGACACATCCAGCATGTCTCACCGTGCCTCCCAACCAATCCTCGCTGCTGGCTGGACAGAGCCAGGCTTTCCCCCGGCTCTGCTGGCGTGATGGCCTGTCTCCGTGTGCAGTGGGAGCCAGGTGTCAAACTCGGGGGTAGCTAACGGAGTCAGGTGCAGCACGTGCGGCTGTTGGGTGGCCAGCGGCTCAGCGCCTTCCCAATCTTCATGGATCCTTTGGCTCCTTGCACTTCTGTCTAAGAAGCTCCTTGGCTCTCCTTGCAGGCCGAGGACCCCAGCGCCGACGGGTGGCTATGCAGATCCCCGAGGCAATTCTCACCAATAAGGAGCTGCAGGAGGCAGTTGGAGCCCTCCCCAGCAACTATAACTTTGAGATCTACAAGACAGTCTGGAGAATTCAGCAGGCCGAGGCAACGAGAGGTAAGTGGCCGCTCGGGGCCATGCTGCACTCTTAGCGTCCAGGCTCGAGCTGTGCCCGAGAACGCAGCTGCCGGGCTTCGTGCACCAGCTCACCACCGGGGCTGCGTGGGGGCTAGATCCCATTGACCCTGTTGTCGCAGCCCCGGCCCCTCCTGAGTCAGAACGTGCCTGGCCCTCGCCAGCGTGTGGGTCCCAATCAGTCCGGAGAGGGTGTGTTGTGAGGCCAGGCCAGGAGCTGGGCTGAGAGCACTTGGGGCTAGGTTACCTAGGGGAACGTACTGATGGCTGCTGGCTGTGCCAAGCTGTCAGTCAGGCTGGGAAGCAGCTGCCACACCGCCGGCATTTAACGTTACGGGGAGCTGGCCATAACTCTTCCGACGATTGAGCGCGTTTGTATCTCAGGTTTATAATCACATTAGACAGGACGGGCTGAGTCGCCTGTAGCTGTCACCCTGCTGGAGATTGGGCTGGGATGCTGGCCAGGGCTCCAGTTACAGCTCCCCGTCTCTTTCCTCTTTCCCTGTGCTTCCTGGCTGAGCCTTTGGGGATTGGGGGGTACACCCGGGTGAGCGAGTGCCCAGGTGGAATGTGGGTGAAGGGCAAGGCCCCCCAACGGTGGGGGGCGGCATTGGGGTCTTGGGAAGCAGTGCCATTGATACGGGGGGAGGGGCAGGCATAGGCATGAGCTCCTGACTGTGTGGGCTGCGTGTTTCCAGGCTTGGGGAGAGGGAGGCGCAGGTGCCCTGGTCTCTGCTGGGGCATCTCTGACTTGGATGTGGTTTCAGCTGGTGGCAGCTGCTTTATTTCCCCCATGGCCTCAGCTGCTGAAGAGTAGACGCCCCAGCCCTCTCCTGGTTGGGGTCGCTGGCCACAGCCTGCTCAGCCCTGTTCCTCATGGGCTGCCAGTGCAGAGAATAATGCATCAGACTCCCGATCCTCACTCGGCCACCCATGCCCTGGATGAAAGGAGCAGGCACCTATGGGTGCTGGGAAGGGAGAGGTGCTTGGTGTGTCTGAACTGTTACTGCAGGCTGGGCTGGTGGGGGGCAGGTGAGCACGGGCTGTCGCAGGCGGTGGGCTGGGGAAGGGCTCATGAGTGGGGTCTGTGACATGATCGTGCGGACAGGGCCCCCGTAGTGTGCCCTCTCTGCCCTCGGCACTGTTCGGGTTCCTGGAAGCTGGGGCGTGTGGAGGGGCTGAGTAGCTGCAGCTCCGCGGTTTGTGACTGGCCGGGGGCCCTGGCGGCCGGAGGCGTCAAGCCTGGAATGTTTGATCGGGCGAGGAGCACAGAGAGCGACAGGGTCACCGATGAACCCGTGGAATGCTCTTGTGACCTTTGAGGGGAAGGATGACCCAGGGGTTAGGGCATCTGCCAGGACCCAGTTCGGCTCCCTGCCCTGCTGCAGGCTCCCCATGGGACCTTGAACAAGTCCCTGGCCTGTCTCGGTTCCCACCGGTAATGTGGGGATGGCAGCCCTGCCCTGGCAGGGTCACTGAGGATTGTGAGGTGCTGGGACCATTGAGAGATCTGAGTATGTGTCACTCCTGTCTTGGCTTGGTCGCTCTCGGGGCCCAGACCGTCATGCCCTGTCCCCCAGGGGTGCTCAGGTTGGGAGGAGGCAGAGGGGGAGTGTGTGGGCTGTCCTGGCCATGGCACTGCCTGGGCACCCCTGTGCTGTGTGGTTTGTTCTAATGAAATGCAAACATGCGGCTCAGATTTAGGTTTTAGCCTCTCGGGGAATATTGGAAGCTGAACCCATCAGCCGTGCTGGGCTCTCAGATATGCACCTGCAGAGGCCAGCGCGGGTCTCGCTGGCAAGGGGCTGCAGCTGGACCCGAGAGGGCAGGAGTTCGGGGCAAGGCTTCCCTGTGCCAGCGTCTGGTGGGGAGGGGATGTGATGGGCTGGAGGTGTGTATCTGGGCCTGGGTCGTAGCAGGGAGGCCAGCGGAGAGCCGCTGGGCACAGAGGGCAGGTGCTTTGCTAACGGAGGGGAAGCCAGCTGTCCTGTGCTTCCCCCACCCACTCCCAGCACCTGGGGGAAGCACAGGCCTCACTTGGGAAGGCAAGTCTGTTTTCTGGCCGGCAGTCCAGGGCCCAGGGCTGGAGCTGATTTTACCCCAGGGGGAGGAAGGATTCAGAGCCCCTCGAGCCAGGTGTGCCGAGCCCTGGGCACTTTCTGCCCCAGTGGGACGAGCAGGGTGCTAGTGCTCAGAGCAAGGTGCTGCAAGTTGGGCTCCTTGGAGCCCTGCCACCTGCCCTGGGCCCTGAAATATCTGGGCTGGGGAGTGTGAAGTGCCTTTTGCCTTGCGTGTGCTGGGCTCTCTGCTCCTTATCCGGGAAGCAAGGCTGCCGATTAATCGCCGTTACCTCACGCCATGCACGCAAAAACATTAACTGCGGTTAATCGCACTATTAAAACAATAGAATACCAATTGAAATTTATTAAATATTTTTGGATGCTTTTCTACATTTTCAAATATATCAAATATTACAACACAGAATACATACTGTACAGTGCTCACTTTATATTATTATTTTTTATTATAAATATTTGCACTGTAAAAATGATAAACAAAAGAAATAGTATTTTTCAATTCATCTCATACAAGTACTGTAGTGCAATGTCTTTATCCTGAAAGTGTAACTTACAAATGTGTTTTTTGTTGTTGTTACATAACTGCACTCAAAAACAAAACAATGTAAAACTCTAGAGCCTACAAGTCCACTCAGTCCTACTTCTTCTTCAGCCAATCGCTAAGACAAACAAGTTTATTTACATTTACAGGAGATAATGCTGCCCGCTTCTTGTTTACAATGTCACCTGAAAGTGAGAACAGGTGTTCGCATGACACTTTTGTAGCCGGCGTTGCAAGGTATTTACATGCCAGATATGCTAAACATTCATATGCCCCTTCATGCTTCGGCCACCATTCCAGAGGACATGCTTCCATGCTGATGATGCTCATTAAAAAATAATGCATTAATTAAATTTGTGACTGAACTCCTTGGGGGAGAATTCTATGTCTCCTCTTCTGTTTTACCTGCATTCTGCCATATATTTCATGTTATAGCAGTCTCTGATGATGACCCAGCACATATTTGTTTTAAGAACGCTTTCACAGCAGATCTGACAAAACACAAAGAAGGTACCAATGTGAGCTGTCTAAAGATAGCTACAGCACTCGACCCAAGGTTTAAGAATCTGTAGTGCCTTCCAAAATCTGAGAGGGACGAGGTGTGGAGAATGGTTTCAGAAGTCTTAAAAGAGCAACACTCCAATGTGGAAACTACAGAACCTGAACCACCAAAAAAGAAAATCAACCTTCTGCTGGTGGCATCTGACTCATAATGAAAATGAATATGCGTTGGTTCGCTCTGCTTTGGATGGTTATCGAGCAGAACCCATCATCAGCATGGACACATGTCTTCTGGAATGGCGGTTGAAGCATGAAGACATATGAATCTTTAGCGCATCTGGCATGTAAATATCTTGCGATGCCGACTACAACAGTGCTATGCAAAGGACTGTTCTCACTTTCAGGTGACATTGTAAACAAGACGTGGGCAGCATTATCTCCTGCAAATTGTAACCAAACCTGTTTGTCTGAGCGATTGGCTGACGTAGGACTGAGTGGACTTGTAGGTTCTAAAGTTTTACATTGTTTTATTTTTGAATGCAGTTATTTTTTGTAACTAAGTCTACATTTGTAAGTTTAACTTTCATTATAAAGAGATTGCACTACAGTACTTGTATGAGGTGAATTGAAATGTACTATTTATTTTGTTTTTTTACAGTGCAAATATTTGTAATAAAAAATAAATATGAAGTGAGCACTGTACACTTTGTATTCTGTGTTGTAATTGACATCAATATATTTGAAAATGTAGAAAAACATCCAAAAATATGTAAATAAATGGTATTTTATTATTGTTTAACAGTGTCATTAATCAGGATTAATTGTTTTAATCGCTTGACAGCCCTACTGGGAAGGGCTGGCAGATGTGGCCCACGCTGCTTTCCAGACGTCCCAGGGCAGCAGAGGCTGGCTGGGGAGGAAGTGGCGCTCTGGGACCCCTCCTGAGGTGCCTGAAGCCCGGATTTCCCTGGCTGGGTAAGCCGAGTACTTAGCCTTAGAAGAGCTTTGTGAGTCGGGGCAGCTGGAGATTAGCGTGGTTCCAACCCATTGGCCTAAAACAATGTCTTTAAATAGAGCTGGTGTTTGCCCAGGCAGGGCTCAGTAGCCGGGGATTTGGGGAGGGAGACCGTGGGTACGTGTCATTAAGGCCGGGATGCGTTAGTGGGATCTAGAGTTAAGAGAATAACAGGATTAATGGGACCTGCAGCTGGAGTTCAAGGCCACAGTTCCGGCGCTCAGTCTCCACCCCAGCATGGGGACCATCCCTCACCTCTCCGAGGATCTGGAGGACAGCAAAGGGGGTTGAGTCACAGTCTGACTGTTAGCATAAGAACGGCCACACTGTGTCAGAGCAATGGCCCACCTGCCCCAGGATCTTGTCTTCCAACAGTGCCAGTTGCTGCAGAGGGAGCGAACAGAACAGGGCCACTATCGAGTGATCTGGCCCCTGGCGTCCAGTCCCAACTTCTGGCAGCCAGAGGTTTAGGGACACCTGGAGCATGGGTTGTGTCCCTGTCCAGCCTGGCCAACGGCCAACGGTGGATCTAGCCTCGTTCTGTTTGGAACCCATTTTACTTCTGGCCTTCGCAACACCCTGGCAGCGAGCTCCTGGGCCAGCTGTGTGTGTGGGAAGAGGCACTTCCTGCTGTTTGCTTTAAACCTGCTGCCTGTCACCTGGGCCAGCACCCGGGAGGGCCTTGGCTCACTGCTGGGCTGCAGCACGTGGGGCCTGGGCACAGAGGTGCTGGCCTAGAACCCTGAGCCCTGGTGCTTGGCCTGCACCTTGGGGCCACGCGCCTCGCTGTGCCGGGTGGGTTCACCACCCAGCTGCAGGGAGTTCTCCAGCTCTCCCCTTCCTGCATCGTTGCTGTGTTGTGACGACTCCTCCCCAGAGTGGCCATGGAGCAGAGTGTTGCAGCTGCCCAGTGCAGAGGACTCCTGACTCCCTCCCCTTAGGAAGTGCTCAGGAGCTCCTGGAGCCAGCAGCAATGCTGGGTGTTATTGGCGGAGTGTGCCGGTGTCCCAGCATGCTGGGGGGCAGCTCTGGCTCGGAGGCGGAAGGATTGAGCTGTGTGTGGCTCAGTGTGCCCAGGGGTGTCGTCAGGCTTGTACCAAGGTGTTCGCTTTGCGGAGGAAATGACCTGCTCAGTGCATCCTAACCCTGGGGATCTGTCTCTCTCCTAGTGGCTCTGCAGATGCCCGAAGGCCTCCTCATGTTTGCGTGCACCATCGCTGACATCATTGAAAGGTGAGTGAAAGACGTAGGCTCTTTGCCCTTGGAGGGGTGTCTGCCCTTGCCACACACCCTGGCATCTGGCACCTCACCAGACAGGTCCCCTGGGCAGAAAAGTAATGCCCACATCAAACAGCTTTGCTAAAGCATTGATCTGCCTGTTCCGTGGTCCTGCCTCCCGCCACGGAGCTGCCCGCGGTGCATGTAGTTGGAATCTCCTGCGTTCGGTAGTGCCCAGCTGTGCAGTGCGGGGTGGGGCGGCCGGCCAGTGTTCACTCGGTGCATTCCTGGCTTCCCACCCATAGAGGCTGTTTGTGGTTGAATTTATGCGGCCGTGCGAGTGGTGATCGGTGAGAGACGACCATGCTGTCGGCTGATCTCGCTGCCTGGCTCTGCCCCCCACCCTTCGGCGCGTTCGAGCCAGCAGCTGACAAGCTCAGCATGTCCTGGCCTTCACTGGGGTCACGGCGCCCGTGTTAACAACTGGCTGACGTGAGCTCGGGGCCTGTGTGCCGAGGAGCGCTCTGGGCTGCAGTGGGGGCGGGGCCTGGTGGCAGCAGGTGAGCTCTGAGAGGCTGGTGCTTTCGGGCACTCTCCATTCAGTGGCCTGCGGCTTTGGGGGGGAAAGGGGCTCCCTCGAGCCCCTGCCTCGCTGGCCATGGCCTCTGTACCATGCTCATCCTGGGCTCCAGGGGAAAGGCCCTGCTGCCCATTTACCCTGGCATCCCGCCCCCTCGCTCCTTGGGGCTGAGCGGGCAGCTGTGATTGGCAGGCGGCTGTGGGCAGGGGTCTGTGCCTGGGCACGCGGGTTCTCCCGGCTGCTCACATGGGCCCAGAGAGAGGCGGGGTGGGGGGCGGGAGACCCCTGTCCCCGATGCTGCTTCCCACCCGATGTGTCGCAGCCCAGCGGAAGCAGAAGTGGAGGGTGAAGTGCTGAGAGGCCATTGGGAGCTGAGCGCAGCTCTCAGCAGATTGCGGCACCTTGCAGGATTTAGGCTAATCTCTTTCTCCTGCCTGCTGTAACCGCCCCCCAGCTCCCTCTGTTTGCACACAGGGAGTGAGAGCCAGTAGCACCCTGCGGGGTCACGACACTCACTGGCACACCGTCTGCCTGGGGCAATGGCTGGCTTCCCTTCCCACCTGCCCTTCGCCAAACAGCTGCGAATGCTGTGCCTGGCAGGCAGGTCAGAGAAGGGCACCCTCCCAGCTCTGCCAGGAACCCCCGTGGCCCACCCCCCTGCACAATGGGGCGGAGCGGCTGGGTGATTAGCCCCTCTGTCCCCAGCGCACTGTGCTGCTGCTTGTGGCTCTGGGCTATGTAGGTGCCAGCTGGGCTTGTTGGCACCATCGTTGCCCAGCAGGCTGGTGGCTGCTCTGTGGCCCTGCCCTGCCCTCCGGGCCAGCACTAGTGCCCCGGGGTGCTGCAGCACTTGGCCGTACGGGTGTGAGCAGGGGGAGCTGGCAGAGTGTCTCGCTGTCTCCTGCCGGCCTCCGGGACTTGGGGAGCGACCGGGCTGGGCCTCGTCAAAGCCTGCCTGGGAGCTCCCAGTGCCCCTGTGCTGCACAGCGGGGAGCTGCTTTCATGGTCCAACTTCAAAGGCAGCAGATTAAGGGATTTTTTTATCTGAATGAATCTGGAGCCCGAGCCCCTGTGCACAGCGCAGCCTGCCCGCCCTACACGGGGCGCTCCCGCCTCCAGCACCCCGGCTCGGGCTCCCAGGGTGGGGCTGCAAATGGAGGGTCCT